CGTGGAGGGCCCGGTCACTTGCCCGGGCGCCGGCCTGGCCACTCCACTACCGGGGCACAGAGCGAGCCCCCGCGTCAGCGGTCCCGGGGCGCGTGCTCCTTCCCCAGACTCGGCCCCCACAGTCCCCACCTACTGGACCGTCTGTTGGACCCCTGGACACATCCCAGAGTCAGAATCTTCCAGCAGGGCTCACCGGCGTCGCTGCTGTGCCCTTCGACTTCGACCTGCGGTGGGCTGCCCCCCGGTGGTGTTGCTGCGGCGGAAGCCCTCGTCCGCCCAGATGCAGCCAGGCCGCTGGCCGTGAGCCCCAGGGCACTGGACCCTGCCCGAGAAACGGAGTGGGCTGCACTCCGCCCCAGGGCCCGCCCCAGGAGGTGCTCTGGGTGGCTGCGGCACCGCCCGCCGGACAGGACCCCCAAGCCAGCCAGAGCAGCTCTCGTGGCCTGGGGTGCTGGGCCCGCCCTGCCCCTGCCTCAAGCTGGACGAACTGGACCAGAGGCCGCCCGCCTCGGCCAGGCCCTCTCCGGAACCTGCAGCCGGTGGCCGGGGGAGCCCCATGTCAGCGTCTGGCATGGCCACCATGCTGGCCTGGCCGCCTGGGCTGTGCTGGCCCTGTTCCAGTGGATGCGCCAGGCTGCAGCCCTCCTCCACCTGCAAATCCCTGCTGGTCAGCGTCCCCACCGCAGCCTGCTGCAGCCACTTGGCCTCCCTGTGGGGCTGCCCAGCTCGCCCAGGGTGCCAGGCCGGCCTGGTGCTGCCCTGATGGCCTTCAGAACCTCTGAGGCCCCAGCCTACCCCATGCTTGGTGGCACCCAGGCCTGGCAGCTTTTCCCCAGGGCTTCTAACTCCCTTCTCATCCCTGCAGGGGGGGCCCTGAGGGGCTGGAGGCCACCCCAGGACCTGTTGTGGCCCAACATGGGCCCGGAGGAGGACGGACATGGACACAGCCCCAGGGGCCTGGCCTGGCCGCAGCAGCAGCTCTGCAGAACCAAGGCAAGACCGGGGCAGCGGCCGGGTGGGGGGCTGAGGACTGGGGCTGCGGCAAGGTGGTGGCCGGGCCAGGTGGCGGCCAGGTGCGGTGGCCTGGGTCGGGCCCTTCCTGGGAACTGCAGGAGGCGGGTGTGTGCAGGGCATTCAGTCATGTCTGGGCAGGCGCTGGCCAGCGCCTAGGGGCACCGGGAGGCCGTGGGTGGTGGCCAGCGCCTGCTGACTGCACCAGTCCTCTGGGGAGGGCCATGTTGGTGGCACCGTGACCAGCCGGGCGTGCGGCCAGGCAGGGCTGTGGCGGCGGGGGTCGGCGGTGGCCGCAGGGCCCTTGCAGGGTGGCCTGGCCGCAGGCGGTGCTGCAGGGCCCGGTCTGCACTGGCCTGGGAGAGGCGGGCAGGTGCGCCGGGCAAGGCCTCAGCTGGTCCTCGGCCCCGGGAGCACAGAGTCCCACCCGGACAGCCAGCGTTGGCCGGGAGACGGCTGTGTCCGCGTCCGAGGCCCGGCTGCCCGGCGTCCGGGCCCAGGGAGCACCAGCCCGCCACTCGGGGCGCAGGCAGTCTGGACCCCACCAGGGTTCAACGGCCCCACTCCCGGGACACCTGGTCGCCCTGCGCGCCTGGCAGATGACCGCCTTCAAGGGGCCTCCTGCCCAGGGACAGGGCCTCCGCTGCCTGTGGCCACGCTGCCTGCCTGCACCAGCTGCTTGTGCCAGTGGGGTGCGGGCTGGGTCTGTGGGCGCGACCTCACACCCCTGAGTGGGCTGCACCCACGTGGGCAGCAGAGAAGAGCTGCCGCCCGGTGCTCTGTCCACACTGCGGGCCTGGGGTGCACCGGCCTGGGCCTCCCGTGAGTCCAGAGCCCCGCAGGGGCCCACGCCGGTGTCCCCCCGACTCCACCGGTGGGACCACGAGGCCAAGGAGACAGCACGGCGCGGGCCCCGCCCCCGGGCCC